ATTATTCGGTATAGAAGGTTTAACCCAGATTTGGCCAGAGTTGAGTATTTCCGCGAAATGTTAATGCTTTACTATCCTTGGCGGAATGAACAGCAAGATCTCATTGAAAACGATAATGAGCAGACTTGCGTAACACATCGTATTATAATCGAGGAAAATCAAAGAAAATATGATGTTTTTGAACAAAGAGAACTTGAAAATGTTCTAGAAAGTCTTTATAATGAAATAGACTTGGACGAAGGTGCTCAAAATGAACTACCTATCGTGGAAAATGAGTTCAGAGTGTTGGCACTTCCAGAAATAAACCTAAATATAAATTTGCTGAACTTGCATGGCGAAGATTCAACAGATAATGGCACTGAATCTGATTGCAATATTAGACTTATTAAACTACCCCCCTTAATTCCAGTTGAGGAATTATTTTCTTTAGTTCAAAGTCGAAATACTAAGCAAAGAACCTATTTGACACATTTGATGCACCACCTAAAAACAAATCTCCCATTTTATGAGTTCATTGGCGGCGGTGCAGGTGTAGGAAAGAGTCGTTTGATATCTGCAATATATCAAGCTCTTAACCATCGTTACAATTCTACACCTGGATCCAATCCAAGTTCCTTAAAAGTTCTTCTTTGCGCACCTACGGGTAAAGCAGCATTCGGAATAGGTGGAATGACCCTTCATTCAATATTCTCTTTACCTGTTAATCAGTTGAATAGAGAGTTGAGGCCACTTAGCAATGACACAGTGAATTCATTGTATTCCAGACTTATCGATTTAAAATTAATCATAATTGATGAAATATCGATGGTAGGTGCTCGTATGTTTAGCTCTGTTGATGCGAGATTAAAACAAATTTTCACAACAGACAGCCCCTTCGGTGGTATACCGATCATAGTGTTTGGTGATTTGAAGCAACTCTTATCTGTTGGAGATAGGTGAATATTCTCTCCTAATCCCAATAATGCATACAGCACTTTAGTTGGTTCCCCTTTGTGGGAGTTATTTAAATACTTTGAATTAACAGAGATAATGAGACAACGGAAGGATCAGGCCTTTGCAATTGCATTAAATCATATGGCATCTGGTACTATGACAAATGAGGACATATCACTCATTGAAACTCGAGTAGTTAATTTCGAAGAAGTTCCCGATGATGCCATACATTTATTTTGGTCCAATTAAGAGACAAAAGCTCAGTCGAATCCCAACAGAAGCTTTCCTTTCAACTGCAAAAGACTCAGTTAAAGGAATTGGTATAAATGAAAATGATAATATTTTGGAAAGAGTTAAACTTTTCAAAACTTCTGATCCAAATATATGATTACAGTGAACATAAACACGTGTGATGGCTTGGTTAATGGGGCAGCTGGACAACTTATGCAAATTGATTTCCATTGTTCTTTTCCAACAATTCTGTGGATTAAATTTTTGGAACCTGTTGGTTTGATAGCACGATCAAAAAAGCTCCATCCTCTAGAAAGTTCTTGGACACCAATTGAAAAAGTTTTAAAATCTTTACAATATAAAAGAAATGAACAAATTTCAATTAAAAGAAATCAGTTTCCAGTTGTTCCGGCTGAGGGAATAACTATTCATAAAAGTCAGGGTGCCACATATAATAAAGTTGTAGTTCATACTCGACCCAGAATGCCTAGAGCTTCAATATATGTCGCTTGTAGTCGAGCTACTTCTGCAGAAGGTCTATTCATCATAGGAAATTTTATTCCTCCTAACAAATTCGCTGAATCGGATCCCGTATTTAGGGAACTGAGGGAATTGAACATAAATAAAGCTCTGACAACAAGTTCAGTCCCGAACATCAGGACATCAAATTTTATTCCATAATGTTCAGAGTCTTCACGCTCACATTAATGATATAAAAAGCGACTGTTTGATGCTATCTTCAGATATTTTATGTTTTGTAGAAACTTGGAGTTATCCTTGCGAAAGTTTTCATATACCAGGATTTACTCCAATTAACGAGCTGAGGATAGATAGCACGGAAACAACCAACCGAAATAAACGGGGCATTATAATATATGCAAAGCATAGTATTGCTTGCTCTATAGAACCAAAGGCTGTAAAGAAAATTTATTCGGGCAAAGTTTTAGAAGCGGTTTTGTTTAAATGTTTCAATATTAATATTCTGGTTCTATATAGAAATTCAGCTTTCTCTGTCAGACAATTAATTATAGAACTTCAGGAAGTCCTTACTTCTGAGTTAGGCAATCAAAATGTGCCAATTGTTGGAGATTTTAACATTTGTTTAATGTCTACAGGGACTGCAATAAGAAATCTGCTCCAAGAAAAAAACTTTAGTTCCCTGCTTGGTGCAGAATATTCAACTACACCTGCCGGTACACAAATTGATTGGTCATTTTCAAACATGGATCCTTCCCGTGTAAATGCAATTACTTTTGAGACAGTACACAGCTATCATGACAGTATTTGTGTCTCTATTTCGAACTAAAGTTTTCAGACTTAGTGCAATAGTTCTTCATTTTTTTTCCAAATATAATCGAATTGGAATGGTATAGGAATTTTGACAGTATTTTTTAAGACAATTTAAAGAAAAATATGTAAATAATCTAATTAAGAAAATTTAAATTATATATATAATTTGTTATTATATATGACATTATTGTATAAATATATGATAGAAATTAAATAGTATAAGGAAAAAAGAAATATAATTTGGATATAATTATAAGAATCTCTACAAAAATTTATGTTTAATATTTTAAATATTATATACAAATTAATATAATAATATTATATCATTTTTAAATTTGTTAATATTTATTATTTTTAAGCTAAACATGTATAATACTATCGATATAATAAATAAAAAATGTTATTCATTGTTCAAAAACGATTTCTTTTCCTACTTCTCAATACAGTTGTAATGCATTCTATATATATCAATTATAAGCGTATACAAAAAGCACAAGAACGATTTCTCATAATTTGAGTAAATTTAGTTTACAAATTGCTCTAATTATTTTCACTGTGAGTGAAAAGTAAATAACTAAGGCAACAGTTCCTACTTCAAATTATTAAAATATATAAAGAAGTCTCAAACGAATATACCATTTAACTTTGCGAGAGTATAAAATGTTCGGTTACATCCGAACTTAGCCCTTCCTTACTTGTTTTATACTCTCATTTTATTTTTATAACCCTTTTTTATTAAATGATATTTTAATTCTATTTTCATATTATTTCCCTCATTATTTATATTTTCTTGTCAGAAGTCAATTTCTTTCGTTTTTATACCCTGAACAGGGTATATTAAGTTTGCCACGAAGATTGTAACACCCAGAAGGAAACGTCGGAGACCCTATATAATAAATAAGTATATAAATGATCAGCATGCTGAGCTGAGTTGATTTAGCCATGTCCGTCTGTCTGTCTGTCTGTCCGTCTGTCTGTATATATACATACTAGTCCCTCAGTTTTTAAGCTATCGATCTGAAATTTTGCACCTGTCCTTTTCTCACAAAGCAGCTGCTCATTTGTCGGAACGATAGCATATAGCTGCTATACAAACTGAACAATCGGAATGAAGTGCTTGTATGGAAAACTCTCTCATTTGAGGAGGAATCTCTACGAAATTTGGCATGGATTATTATTTAAGGCAATGATCTAATCGCCGAAGAAATTGTATAGATCGGATGACTATGACATGTAGCTGCCATATTAACTGAACGATCGGAGTAAAGTGCTTGCATGGAAAATTTTTTTATTTGACGAGGTATCTTCACAAAATTAGACACGAGTTCTTGCTTAAGGCAACAAATTATTCTACCAGATCACTATATCATATATCTGCCATACAAATTGAACGTTCGGAATCCAGTTCATGTAAGGGGCCTTTGTATTTTTGAAGGGTATAATAGCTTCGGTGCAACCGAAGTTAACGTTTTTTCTTGTTATTATTTAAATTTTTGTTTATGCGCATACCAAAGAACATCTGTGCATATGTATGTATATACATTTTGCTTATAGAGTGGTGTAGTTCGTTGCGTACTCTGTTAGGTGTGGTGACATTTTATTTTCGAACTTTCGCGCTTTCAATGTTCCCTCATCGTAATTAACATTTTAGTAAAGTTAACATTTGCTCCTTCTCTATTCATTAACATTCTCTGTTTGCGCCTTCTCTATTCATTAACATTCTCAGGGAGTCACATGTGAAATTTGGTTTGCATTTACTTGAAAATTTGATTAAATATATCAAGATATTTTCCATAAACTCAATAATTATGACATTTTGTGTTTTGTTCATATGTTTTCCCCTATAGAAATAACGATAATAAATCGTAACAATAATATAAAATAATTGCTTAACTTACGTTTCAAATCTGTCAGCGACTATCCTCTCGCTTCGTTTCTGATAACAAAACCGATATATTTGGTTTCCGGGACACCCAAAACCGATACAATTTCCGTTTCGAACGTCAAACCAATAATATCTGAATTCATGACAATTACTATATTATTTTATGTTTCAATTCTGATAGCGACAACTATCAAATTCTACAAAACCCCTGAGTATGTAAAATTTTTTTAATATTTAGAAAAAGGCGATCGACCAGACGCCAGTATAATCTCATAATTAAGAAATTGTTCCATTGTTAGGTTTCTAAGATTTAGAAAATCCGCAATAACATCTTCAACTGTAAAAAAAAGTTAAACATGAGAATATTTAAAGAAATATACTTATACTAACTAAACATTCTACAAGAATACGGCTAAGCACCAGATTTTATATGTTCACCAAAATACAAAAACAATTTCAAATTATTGTCATCCAAAACAATTGTTTTTATTCAAGCTTTCATTAAATTCATTTGTCAGCGATTTTCATACATAAAAATAAATACATATATACGATTCTATCGTTTATAGAAAGAACTATAATTCATTTGTTTAAAGAAAATATTGTTCTCTAGTATACATATTTGTATAGTGGCATCAAATAAGAAAGAAGTTCAAAACGATTATAAATAATTCAATTACAAGACACTTTAATGTTTTTTGGGTATATAGCAAAGTAATATTTGTTGCTTTTTAGAATGTGTACAAAACGGATTTTCCATTCCTTAAGAAATCAAAGTGATTTTTAAAATTAAAATGGAATTTTTTATGTACCCTCAGTGAATACAACGCGTATATTTATATTGTCTAATTTAGTCAGATTACTTCTTATACTGAGGACAAATTATTTCTCAATTTCCGTTGCTTGTATAATTCCTTAATTAAATCTCGAAATAACATTGGATTAACATTTACACTGACTTTAAAGAGCAGAAACCAGTCCCCAAAGCTGATGTTCTCTAAGGCGAGTTCTACCTGTGTTGTAGACATTGGGCGCAACTGTATACTTATCATTTTTAAACGAAAAGTTCTACTGGACATTAGAAATAGGCGATAGAGCAAATTCAAACCGGCCATTATTGCCATTATGAGGAACCAGCACCACAAAAAACCAAAAATCTTCTCGTTTAATATATTTAGTGGTAGGATACATAGGACGTCGCGCTTGGTTTGAGAACCACTTGGGCCAAATATAATGTAGTCACACTTAGCAATTTTGGGAAAAATTCGCGAGGTCATTCGATTCCAGTTGTCCCAATCATAACGTGGAACGGCAGTCAGTGCTTCAATATACTTTGTCCAAAAGCCGTTTAAAAACACGTTAAGCAATAAAATATTGATAACCTAAAAAAAGGCTCTTGCAAATTAAACAGAGAAATTTTTTAATTGGTAAATCTTGAACATTATGAGCGATTTGTGTACTTACGCTAATTACGAAATTCAGCACCTCGCATGTTAGGCATTTTACCATATAACAAAAGTGTATTTCCTTGTAGTCGGTTGAGAAGTATTTCAGTAACAATCTCAAACGTTCTACGTAAGTGCTTTCGGGAATCAATGCATCACCTACATGATCAAGACAAAAATGTATGCACATATGAATAAAGTAAAAAATTAAAAACTCTCACTCACCAACTTCGGAGCATAATTGTTTCAATCGTTGACCCTCCCACATCTTCCAAAGGAATGAAGGAAAATAGAAAAAAACCGACTGCAAAAGTAGCAACATAATGACCCATTGGTAATAACGCAAATACACCCGTTCCGTAACCCCAAACTCTTCTATAGTTAGTCCCTCGACTATATATGGGGAAGCTTCTCCAGTCTGCGTACTCAACAGTTTGTTTCCATGTGGTATCCGATCCTGTACATCGTAAACATTTAATATGTATGTGCCCATGGTCCAGCAAAATGAATTAACATATTCACTGTATTTGTCATCACCCATACATTGTATAGGCTCACCGAAATATTGCTTTGCTGATAGCAGGAATGTGCAAGTTAATAAAATGACCACTGTACATTTGGAATGCAAAGTGAATACCACATCATATATTCGAACTGATTTAAATTGCAAATATTTGGAAAGCGGTTTCACGGCGGCATACATGTTTACCGTTTGTGGAAGAAATATTTCCAAAATATCCAACACGAAATCGCAAATTTTGTATTAATTTTACTTTGCTGTGTACATATGAAGCGGAAATTTCTGTTATTCCTGCTTAACATAGACGGAAAGCACGTTTCAAACGAAAAGGAGCTTGTTTTCATTAAATAACGGATTTTTTGCAATTTATAGGAATACATTTTCCATTCTACACATTACATACTCTACTACAATCATTTTGTAGAATTCAGAGTTGCAATTATATAATGGTCCAATATAATTAAGGAAGCTTAAGAGAAGAAAGAAAAATATATTAGAAATTTACGGAACAGTATGATCTCATACACCCTCGATTTTGAATAAATATGGAATATAAAATAAATGAAATTACTAATAGAGATTTCAAATCCTAATAAAATTGTAAAAAACTATAATAATTTGTATATATTTACGCGTTCTTACAATCACTATTTCATCCTTATTTTTACTTTTTTGATGTATTTTCCCAGATTATTTTATATATTGTAAGAATACAATAACAATATACAATAACCATCGGAATTAACAACTTACGCATTTATGTTCATTATTCCCCTAATATTTTACATTATAAGCACTCTGTTTCTAACAGCTGTTGCATATCGTAAAGCAACTCCCTACGCGGAAATAGCATTATATTGCTTGGCTCTGCATTACCGTTAAAAAGTAATAAGGTGTCGCCAAGCTGAAAATATTGTTAGGAAGCTCCAATATATTTAATTAAACAAATTAGGCAAATCAAATGCATTAATCCAAGCTATGTGGTTGCCGAATGAAAAAGTATCAGTGTCAAAACAGGTGGGAAAATTTTTGAGCATAATTCCACACTTGTTTATTTATTTATTGATTTTTCCCAAACAAACTATTGTCATTCGTTCAACGTTGGGCCAATGCAGCTACAATGCTTCATATGGAATATCCTCATCAAGCTATCTATGCACCGCTAAACCAGGTGATTACTGATTCCGACGAGGAGTCAGAGGAGGAAATTCATAACAGTATAAAACATTCAAAGCAACAAATATACCAGCACCAACAAATAAATCAGAACGGGTGTATTGTTAAAAAGGAGCCTCCAAAGAGTCTCGCACTACGGCAACTACAGAACGACTTGAATACTACTCATCTAAGGCGTAACGATTCGCTTATTTCATCGACTACAGGTAAGAGCATGTACTGTACAAAAAAAATTAATTAGATTACGGATAATCTGTGCCGAATTAATTTTACCGCGAAATCGAATAAGTATTTGTGCGTGTGTTTATGTTCAATCAAAGTAAATAGATGGCATATTTCTTCATGTATTTTAGGATGGTTGGTACTACAAAGTCCAAGATTATAGAAAGATTTTGGTTCGTTGGCTGGCAATGTTATTCCTCCAAGTGCTTGTGTATTTGCGTACAACAGATAGCTTTATATATGTTGCACACTTTAAGGGAACACATAAATATTGCGAAAACTGTTTTAGTTTTAGTTATAAATATCTATTAAAAAGTTTATTTATCACCGCTAATGTAAAGCAACAATAACAGGGTATGTTAAATTTGCCCCCGAAGTTTGTAACACTCAGAAAGAAATATCAGAAGTCCGATAAAAAATTTATATGTATATAAATGATCAGTTTTTGAGATATCATTCTGAATGTTTGCCTACGTCTTTTTTTCTCTGCAAGAAGCTGCTAATTTGTCGGAGCCTTAGATATCGGACCACTATAGCATAAAGTTGTCTTACAAACTGATGTATCAAAATCAAATTCTTGTATGGAAAACTCTTTTATTTGACAAGATATCTTCACGAAATTTGGCATGGGTTATTGTACAAGGCAACGTTACAACGTTATAAATACGTTCTTGTATGGAATATTTTGTATTTGTGAAGGGTATTATAGCTTCGGTGCGAACGTTAACACTTTTTCTTGTTGATAATGTATGATGATAAATAATATAAATTTCAATAATTTAGTTTGGCTATTGAATTAGCAAAAATTCTTTAATTAATCAAATATACGTATGTTTTTTAGGAAAAAATACATTAAACAACCAAAGGCAGGAGGCACGGCCCAGTAGTTACACGACCAACATGCAAAACACTTTCCGATCCGTGATGATGTCCGATATAGGATTGAATGATCAGGCCAGTAGCTTTTCAAGCTTCAATAGCGATTATGACGAACGTAATCATCTTGATGCTGATAACGTAGCAATTTTGGGTCGCGACAACTCAAAGGATCTCAGCACACATGAGCCAATGACACCAGCACGGCGATGTTGTTTTATATTTTCGTTGCTTTTATGTGTGTTTGCTGTTTTTGGCTTTGTTTGGTTGGTGCCCTGCAATAAATCATGCCCCGCACCTGTAGATCAAATACGAACACATAATTGGCTCAACAATTACACAAAGATCGAATTGAAAGGAGGAGTTCACGTGGTGGGCGGCTTACGAAGTTGGGAAAATAATTTAATATTCCTGTATCGCGGCGATGCTTTCTTCCCCAATAACAATAACGCCAAGCGTAATGGTATTATATCGCTAATTGGCAGTTCTGGCGCTGTAGCCTGGTACGATCAAATGGTTGACGAACCTGTAGCCATCGATTGTACACTAATCGACGTAGATCAAAATGGGCGATCCGATTGCTTAGTGCTTGATGAATTTGGTGAATTGGGCGCAATAAATCCAATCTCCGGCAAATGGCACTGGCATTACAAAGAACGTGCTCCACACAGAGTAGATGCTTTAGATTTCCCAGTAATACTGCCCGATTTAGACGGTGATGGCGTTTTAGAGTTATTAATGGTAACTAGCATCCCTTTTGAGCTGCGCACACGCAATCTTGTGCACAAAGGTGAACTCCGTGCTGGAAATCATCGGGTCGAAGAGCGAAATTTCTTACGTATAATTTCCGGCCACAATGGCAAACCGATGGGTGATGGCTTTAAGGTGCAAGATTGTGATGTGTTGCACAAATTGCAATTGGAGAATAATCAAAAGGTTACATTTAATTGTTGGCGCAATAATACCGAAGCACAACGATCGAAAAGTTTAGCAGACTTGTTTGCCTTAATAACAAATAAATCTATTGCAACCGGACAAAAACTTATGCCCGCTTCCAAAATTGCGCAGCATCGTCACTACGGCCAACGCAAAGAAACCGACGCGCAACGCAACATTTACTCTCTCAGTGGGCGTGAACTGGTCGTAGAAAATCGCGGCAAATGCCCAGATGATTGCAACGTTACTTTTGTGCTACGCGAGACACACGGCAATAAAACCACCGTCTTGCGAAACTTCACCAATTCAGCTATGTATGGCATGGTGCCGGCACAATGGCATTTCAAAAACACCAAAAATGAAATGTCAGGTTTTGTAATGAAATTTTGGAAGTGGAACAATCAAAAGGACGCACTACGAACTTCAAGTAAGGATGAACCCTCGACAAATGCAAACAATGCGCGCAATGCCGCAGCAGCTGCGAATAAAAAGGCCAAAACTCACATGGGCAAGGAGAATGCCACCAAAACTACAAAACAGAACCATATCACGTCAAATAAAACAAAAAGACAAAGTGGTAATGACAAATTACACACCGAAGAGCGGGTACATGGCTTCCCTACGAAGGCATTTAGTGCATTTGATCATCTCATACAAAAGCGACACACCTACACATTGCCACTGGCTGAACAGAATGTAACCCGTCTGCGACGTAGCAGTAACAGTAATTTACTGCTGAATAATTACAAAATGCACATGATTACAGAAACTGTAATGTTGGTTATATTCATCGGCGCTGATTACCGTATCGAAAACACTTCACAGAGCAATATTGTACAATTCTGTCGAAATGATCATAACGAAATAGTATGCCAACCGGATCTGAATAACCAGGAGAACTCTATGCTCATTGCCGATTTCGATATGGATGGCTCTCAAGAATTAGTTTCGTATTCGTCGACTTTCACAGAGCATGGAGATGATCCTGATGATTGGAAGTTGGTAACATATGTACGATTGTTGCGCCTACAGGCAGAAATGCCAATTGTCTATGGCGATAAATTAGTTGAATAAAATAGATTACAAGGAAATAAGGCATGATGTTTTGACTAAGTTAGTAAGAAGAAACGATTTTGTAACCATTGTTGTGCACACATATGTATATAAATATACAAGTAATTACACACATACATATGTTGTATATCATACTGTTCTCATATATTGTATAAGGATATCAAATAAAATATTATACAGTACATACATGGTATACACGTTAAAATCTACAAGCGACATACACTCTTAACTACATAGATTCTTAACACTTAAAAATATACAAAGATGAAAAAATGTCATAGGGCTAGTATAAATGTACTCAAAGGCAATGCTAACGAAAATTCAAATCATTCAAACATTCATTTTATTCAGTTGTATTACTTTATCCTGTTAATTTACCGTTTCATAAAATATTATTGTTATGGTTTTTGAGACCACATTAAATCTTTCATATAAAGTATGAGCAAATATATTCTGATAACCAAGTTTGCACTTAGCATTGCCGTTGGGGCTAAAACTAATTAACCTAAACTATTTACATAATTACATACATACATAGTGAATTTACAGTAGTTCAACAATTTTTCAAATAAAAGTAAATCCAAAGCTAAAAATTTTATTTTTTTTTGGCAACATTTCTACGTTACCACATTAAGTTATGACTATGACGGCATAGTTACTGCATCGAAGCATAACTCATTTAATTCCATGGTCGAATCTGCCGAAGTGGTCAGTAATAAGTGGCTCTTCACTTTTATCTTCGTTTTTTTTGTTGTTGTTTTTTCTACGCTATCTACATTTTCACCAGAAATTGCAGTAGTTGCTTCATTGTTGCCATTCTTATTTTCATGTTTAACTCGATGTACGTCGAATAAACCCTTATTTATGGTGGTATATGGGCATATTGTGCACTTATAAACGATGGAATCGGCCACTTGTGGATGTTTTTGTTGAACATGTTTCTGCAAGCAAATAATTATAAAACATAAATAAAATGTTTTACTTAATATATGAAAATTAACTAAGATTAATTGAAATAGAGAAGGAAACTATAAATTGCGAGATCGGGCAGCAAAACCGTTCCCTTAGATAATTATCTATGCAAAATTTCGTGAAGATAACTTTCCAATTAAAAAAAAAATCAATACGAGGACTTGAGTTTGAGCTAAATCGACTCAGCTCATCATGCTGATCACTTACATATACATATACACTTTACAGTTTCTCCGATGTTTTCTTTTGGGTGGTACAAACATCGTGGCGAATTTAATACACCCTGTTCAGGGTATAAAAGTGTGGCATTAGAAATCCGTATACATTATTAGATATTTAGCCTTACGCTAAGGAAGCATACACTTTTAGTTATACCTACAAAAATCAGTATTAAAACAGCGTCACACTATTTTATAGAAATATTTTACATAGTGTACGATAGACCGAAAGACGAAAATTATTATATCTAGTAGAATAGAGTGATATTCAAGAATCAAAAGTCATATAAATTGATTTGCCCCAATTACCTTGAACACTTGTCAAATACTATTTCCTCTCATGTTTTTCGTTATATTTACTGTTAAATTAGCTAGAGAAATTAAATTAATTTAGAGGGCCAATTTAAGACTCTGCCTATGAAACGTCGTATGAATCTATAGAAATTAGTTTTTATCCCTTACCTGATAGGCCACGCTTTGTATTGACTTGTAATCACAGTGAACGCAAGCATACATCTTCGCATTATTGTCGTGTGTCATTTTATGTCGCCGAAAAGCATTGTGGTCACTGGCAGAATACTCACAGATGTTACATTTAAAACGCCGCGATGACTCATGCGATTGCATGTGCAACTTGATGGAGGAGCGTGAAGTCAGTACTCGATCGCACACTTCGCATTGTATTGCTGCGGCGGCGTTCTTGCACAGATGATCTCGTAATGTTTTCTGATGTGAAAAAACAGCTTCGCAGTCCTTGCATCTATAAAAATTACGCGCAGCGGTTACAGGTACTTGAGTTGCATCAGATATGCTTGTGCTAGATGATGGCGGTAACAGCGCTGGACCGCTGCTTTCGGACGCGGATACATCTGTTCTCTTTGAACTTTCCCGCTTCGCTGATGGAGATGTTGTGGATTTGTTATGGTTGCGGTGCCAACGCCGATGATTTTTCAATTGTTTTGTATTTTTGAAAGCTTTCTCGCACTGATCACACTTATAATTTCGTTCATCATAATGAATTTTGGAATGTGTGTTTAGTAACCTTGAATATATAGGTGTTTTGAAGCTGCACAGTTCACAGCTATATAGCTCCATGTCGATTTTATGCGTACGCCAGAGGTGAGTATGCAACGAGTTCCAGTTGGTGAACGGCGCTTTGCATTCAGGACATGCCATTGACTGAGGTTGAGACTCACTGTAATAAAATAGTTTACTTCTTTTATAATAAATAACGATCGACATGAATAGAAAGGAATATTAAGTCAGCACTTGCAAAATTTGCAATGAAAATATGTTACGATCTCCTTACCTGTTATGGCACTTAATGTGGTAATCTAATGTGATCGATTTTTTAAATCGGAAGGCACAACCCGCAACAGTGCACTTCAGGTAAACGCCTGCTCCGTTTTCGTTAGGCGGTTGCTTGCGAAGCTTTGTTATGCCAGTACGATTCGAACCAAACGGTCGGCCACGTACCGAAGTTCCACCCATTACAGAGACAGCAATTGGTGTTTTGGGTTGCTGTTTGTCTAAACTCTTCGTATTGTTAGATTTGGCCGCTGGTGTTTGCCCCATAGCCGCTGCGTTAGGTGCTTGCATGAGATTGTTCGCTACATAAATGCGTCCACGTTCCGTTGAATTCGCAGGGGTGTTAACGTTAGTTAGCGTTATAGCTTTTGGTGGTAACATAGGTACCAGTGGCGGCACCGGTAAACCAGTCGGGGCACCAATTGATGTTGAGGTATTTATGTTAGTACTTATAGCATATGTAGCTGAAGTCATTGGTGTGAGCGGGGGAATGTCATTAAAATTGTTTTCTTTATTATTTTTTGAGGGTGCCGGATCGGTGTGTTCTCCAGGGGTGGCTTGATTCAAGCGCTCTTGTTTTAGTACTTCTGTGTTTTCTGTTATGGATGTACCTATCGACTCAGGTTCTGTTTGGGGGTCCGACATAACCTCATTACAGATCGCAGTGGAATTGACTACATTTTCAGAGCTACAAACCGGTTCATCAAAAGTAATATTATCTGCGGAGGCGATTTCACGTTCAAAAGTAAAATTTGCACTTGATTGTTGTTGTGTTACAGTCGAGGTCATTGTAGGGTCCCCGTTTGTTACGGACCCCGAACTGGCATTAACTTCAGCACTTGTTCCGGTGAGCTCTTCCATATCTGGTATCGATATCAGAGATATTTGCGGTGTATCCAAATCATGTATTGCCTTCTGAGCTGAAGGTAAAGTTGGGGCCATGGTACTCGTTATGATCTCCCTAATATCGTCACCCAAGTCATAGTCATCGTGCCAACCGTTTTGTGTTGAAAACTCATTCAATTTAAATCCTTCACAACCATAGGATATCGCTTCGATTAGATTGCTGGCATTGCAATTATCAATGGCCGACAACACAGCTTCATTTGCATTATTCAATCGCGCAAAGTTATCACTCAGTTCCTCTTCCACGAGATTTGTTTGATTCCCCTCCAAATTCGGTGCTATTAAGTTTTCAACGTCTTTTCTGTTCATTAAATTTAATTCATCAACGGTACGCAAATGTAGTAAGCCACGTGGCTCTTGGAACTGTGGTTCTTTCAGAATGTCCACATTTTTTATAAAAATTTTCTGCTTTTGTACATTTGTAATGGCAGAGGTATTTTGTGTGGGCAGAGCGTCCGACGTACAATTGTTAATATTACTTACTGTTGTACTCATAGTAGGAGGTGGCGGTGTAGGTTCCGTTGTCATTGGTGTAATCGCATCAGTAAACCGATTAGAATCCATTAGAAAGTTTTCTGTAGTTTGCTCATTGCCATAAGTGTAGTTATCTGAGACGGTAGTGGAACTGTTTACTAAAAAGTTCCCACCTCCACTATCGAAGAGATACTGATCCGATATAGTTCCAAGGGGGAGCTGTGACATGCCACTATTAAAAGGCGGCACTGTTGCGTTTAGGCTATCAACGGTATCTAGATAAGAATTCACAGTTTGCGGTATGGTTGGTTGCATAAAATTGAAATTCATTACGTTGTTAGTGGACTCTGTTATAGATGGCGCATTGACATTGTTCGAAAATGTAATTGGCTCTTTTAGTATATCAACGTTTTTTATGTAAATTTTAGGTCTTCTTGGTTTTTCGAAATCATTTGTGAATTCTGCTATGCCAGCATCGCCATTGTTACCAACGAGTGCTTCTCTATTCGGAGCCACAGAATAACTGTATTGCCCATCCGCGTCATTTACTCTCCTGTGGTTGTTATCACAGTTACTTTCGTTATTGTTGTTGATATTGTTAGGTACATGTAAATTTAAATCATTACAGACGCTAATGAAATCTCCAAAAGATTGCATCTCATAATCACGACGCGCCAGAGCAGGTTCTCGTAGTACATCAACACTCTTAATAGAAATTTTTTGTTTAGGTGGATTTGCTGGCTTATTTATTTCTACGTTTGGCACAATAGTTTCATTCACAATATTATCAATATTATTGTCACTTTTGTTGTGAAATAACGGTTCGCCGTTAGTAAGCATGCCTATAAGATCCTGCTCCTCCATGCTAATGCTACCGATGTTTTCTAGCGAATTGCACTCATCATTTTCAAAATGAAAAAGGCTATCATTGATTAGATTATCTTGTTGCTCAATCGGATCTCTATTCGGTTCTCGCAAACATTCAACATTCTTCAAATATATCCGACTTCTTCGCGTTGTTCCCTTGATTGAAGTGTCACTCGAAACTTCTATATCAGAGCCTTTTACGGTGCTAGCGGTGTCCGAATGCTCAGAAGGTTGGTTATTTATTTTAATAATCTGCATTAGTTTTGTTATATCTTGTTCGGGCATTAAATGGTCTTCTCGTAAATGAATCTCGACAACCGAATAAGCGTAGAAGATATTTTCACAACCTGAAACCAGAAAAAATAAATGTTTTTAAGTTTAACTGTATTTAGATATAATATTACAAGGATAAATATTATTTTAGATATAGGAAAGTAGGAACTGAAAATAACGGTTGCAACGAAGTTAAAATACCCGTCACAAATAAAGAAGTTTCCATACAAGAACTTGATTTTGATCGGTCGGTTTGTAAACAGCTATATGATATAGAGAAAATTTATTATTAAATAGAAAAGGTCATGTCATATCCATGCATTTTACGTATAGGAAAATATTAAGTTATAATAAGAAAATATAGAAAATGCCCATTAAAGACCTTACCTGGACATCGTAGTTCCGTTCGACTAATGGCATTTTCACAAACGCGGGAGTGTTCCTGAAACCTGGATTCGAGGTGGAGTTGCAAACCCTTTTCGGTCAAACTTATAAAAGCACATTGCTGACATTTATAAATATCTGGAAATGCAAACGCCGTTTTTCCTTTTGTGCATGTTTTTGTGTTTTGTTCATTTACTTTATCCGAAATTCCATGAGAAGTTTCTAAATCCGAATAAGCTTCTTTCTCATTTTGAGTACAATTTTTAGAAATCTGACCTTCACTTCTCTGCTGCACAGGTACTGGTGGTGTGGGAGTTCCATTTATTCGTTCTTTGGCACTTTCAGAATTTTCCGACTTTATTAGTTCAGCTTTTATTTCTTCTTGATTATTATTAGTGACATTTCTTCTGAATCGTGTACTATTAAATGCACTCTGTGGCTGCACATCAGTCGTATGAATTTGAACGAATGGAATATGTGTAAAAACAGTATTACTCGCGCTGTTACCAATATATGTTGCACCATTGTTATTATTACAACTAAAATTCATTTGTGCGGGAACTATATTTTGGGTCGCACCGTCTCCTGTAGTACCGATTAAATTGTTATATGTCGACGGATGATGAAAAGACCGTGAATGTTGTTGTTGTGATTGCTGTGGGATTATTTCTTTATGGTAATCCGTTCCGATAGCTGTGTGAAGCGAAGTGGCCGCTGCCATTTCTATAGCTAGGTCAGACGGCTACAATATAGTTAGAGCAATAACAATAACATTGTATTTTAATATTCTGTAGTGCGGCTCACCAAACCAGAACCACCAAATAAATGCTCGTAGCTGGAGATAACTCCTTCGTTCATAATTTGTCTACAAGTTTTCTTGACCACAATTTAATCTTCAACTTTTCTGAATGACAAACAAACATAGAAACAGCTGTGTAACGAAGTATAATCAAAACATAACCATAATATGGTTATTCGAATACTTGAGCTACCAACTACAAACAAACATTTAGTATAGTAAATAAGAAAGAAAAAATATTTAACCAAACCCAGCGAGGCACTACTTCGCTTCAGAAAGGGACGAATCATACACACATACAAGAGTTACGGTTAGATTTGTGAATTCAGCTTTAAGAAACTCATAGGAACTTTAGACAAAACCTTTGCTAGCGGACCTGAGTAATTAACCAATGGCTTACCACCAGCGCAGTTAATACTGATATAACGAATCGCATATAACAAAGGATATGCCATAATGAACACTTTTCTTTCAGTGTACGTACTCATACAAAACCGTACTTCGAACTTTTCTGTCAAAACATATAAGGAGCACACATAAGCGGAGCAAAAGTTTTATGTGAATTGGCCATAATAGATGAGTGGAATCATATGTTGTTAATAATAATTTCGTCACCATTATTTGCTTATACAAAAAGAAATTGACCATTTTTACAAGGCAGAATTAAAATACCAAAAACTTGAATATAAATCTGTAAAAACTTAATGTATGTAAATATTTTTATTTAATACCACTTTCTCACCTTTTTGTTGCATTTCAACAATTGTTCGTTCACTTTATGAACTGTCTGTAGTTATCATTATTAAATGCAACCATGTATAATTTGACAATTTCAATGCGGCAATTGGCTGAAATCGCTTAAATTGGTGTGAACTTTTATATTTCGTTGTTATTTTGTTAAAATAATTTGTTTGGCCCTAAAGAGTAATTTCTTTTATTAAAAACTAGGGACTGAAATTAACAACAATCATGCCACGAATAATGATAAAGGGCGGTGTGTGGAGAAACACCGAGGTAAGCATCAACAATTTTTAATACTTTCTCTCCTAACATGTCCTAACTTTAGGATGAAATCTTGAAAGCAGCGGTTATGAAATATGGAAAAAATCAGTGGTCTCGTATAGCATCACTATTGCACCGAAAATCAGCAAAACAATGTAAGGCACGATGGTACGAGTGGCTAGACCCCAGCATTAAGAAAACAGAATGGTCACGGGAAGAAGACGAAAAATTATTGCATCTGGCGAAATTAATGCCAACACAATGGCGTACAATCGCTCCCATCATAGGTCGTACTGCCGCACAGTGCTTGGAGCGATACGAATATCTTCTGTAAGTAGATACCTAGCTACCACTTCTTTTATAGTAATGATTGTTTGTATTAAAGTGATCAAGCACAGCGCAAAGAGGATGGCGAAGATGGTGGTGACGATCCTCGCAAATTAAAACCAGGTGAAATAGATCCCAATCCGGAGACTAAACCTGCACGCCCAGATCCTAAAGACATGGATGAAGATGGTTTGTTTAGATAGTTCCTTATTTTTTAAGTACTAAGTTTTATTTAATCTTAAATTCAGAATTGGAGATGCTGTCAGAAGCACGCGCTCGTCTAGCAAATACCCAGGGCAAAAAAGCTAAGCGCAAAGCGCGCGAAAAGCAATTGGAGGAAGCACGGCGTTTGGCAGCATTGCAAAAACGTAGAGAACTTCGTGCTGCGGGTATTGGTAGTGGTAATAGAAAACGCATCAAAGGCATTGATTATAACGCAGAAATTCCATTTGAAAAACGTCCGGCTATTGGTTTTTACGACACATCAGAAGAGAACGTCGATAAGCACGGGCCTGATTTCAATAAGATGCGACAACAAGATCTTGATGGTGAATTACGCTCCGAAAAAGAGGAACGAGAGCGAAAGAAAGATAAACAAAAACTAAAGCAGCGCAAAGAAAATGATATGCCACTAGCCATGTTGCAGAACTTAGAACCTGAAAGAAAACGCTCCAAATTGGTACTCCCTCAACCACAAATATCTGATCACGAATTACAACAAGTTGTTAAGTTGGGGCGTGCTAGTGAAATCGCCAAAGAGGTAGCAGGGGAAAGTGGTGTCGAGACCACAGATGCACTTTTAGCCGACTACTCTATCACACCACAAGTTACGGCGACGCCTCGCACCCCAGCACCTTTCACAGATCGCATAATGCAGGAGGCACAAAATATGATGGCTCTTACACACGTTGATACGCCTTTAAAAGGTGGTGTCAACACACCACTACACGAATCCGACTTCTCGGGTGCATTACCAAAATCGGCGTCGATTACGACACCCAACACCGTAATAGCAACTCCATTCAGGTTAGCTTATATTTTACTGACACAATACTTCTTTTGATTTATTTTATTTTACGATAGAAAATATAGTTGAAAATATTCCTTTCATTAACCAGAACACAACGTGGAGGCGATGGTAATACGCCTGGATTTGCTACACCTGCGTCTAATGCCCTTGTGCCACTAGGAAAAACACCGCATGCTGTTGTGGGGCAAACACCCACTTTGGTAAGGGACAAGTTAAGCATCAACCCGGAGGATAATTTGAATGTCGGCGAAACACCTGCCATATATAAAAATTATCAAAAGCAACTAAAACATACCTTGCGTGAAGGATTGGCAACACTGCCCGTCCCACGCAATGATTACGAAATCGTTGTACCGGAGCATGACGATCATGAACCCACCGAAACGAAATCGGAAAATGTGGTGGAAGATCAAGCTGATGTAGACGCAAGAGCAATCGCTGAAGAAAATGCCAAACGACAACGCGAATTGGAGAAACGTTCACAAGCCATTCAACGACAACTGCCGCGACCAACTGAAGTGAATACAAAGATCTTACGACCACAATCCGAGAAACAAAATCTCACTGATATGCAAAAAGCCGAGGAATTAATAAAGCATGAAATGATCACAATGCTGTTATATGACTCTGTTAAGGACCCCGTGCCCGGCCAATCACAAAACAAAATTGAACAACTACAAAATTATTTTAAATCAAATCCATACGAAGAGTTTAAGAAACCCGATTTGGGGAAGGCCTCAAACCTTATCAAGGAAGAAATGGATGTTGTTAAAGAGGGCATGGGTCATGGTGACTTACCGATGGATGTTTATTCGCAAGTGTGGCAAGAATGTTTAGGTCAAGTGCTCTACTTGCCATCACAAAACCGCTATACACGCGCTAATTTGGCGAGTAAAAAAGATCGCTTGGAGTCAGCCGAGAAACAATTGGAGCAAAACCGACGACACATGGCGAAGGAGGCAAAACGTTGTGCTAAAATAGAGAAAAAACTAAAAATTTTAACGGGTGGTTATCAAGCGCGTGCACAGGCCATGATTAAACAGTTGCAAGACACTTACGATCAAATTGAGCAGAATTCTTTGGCATTGTCAACTTTCAAATTTTTAGCTGAACAGGAAGCGGTCGCCATTCCACGACGTTTAGAAGTAAATTAATAATTTTATTTTATTTACATAAATTTAACTTTTTTTTGTTTGCAGTCGTTACAAGAAGACGTACGCCGTCAAATGGAGCGTGAAAAAGAATTGCAACAGAAATATGCTAAACTGTGCGAGGAACTTGAACAAGCGCAGCAGGAAATAGAATTGTATGAGAGCACTGAGCAAACCATTGAGACTACTGAAACCTCTAATTGAATGCAATAACAAAATACTAGCATTTCAAGCTAATCTTTAAACTCGTATGATTAGGAAAAACACACAAATTGCTTGACAAATAAAAAAATTCCAAATATCTTCAATCTAAGCGAATTTTTTATTACCTTTTTTATTAAAATAAATTCAGTCACGCTTGGACATGATTGAATTGCCATAATTGTGAATACGAGGGTACAATAAATATTTTATTTGGTGCTACAATACTATTAAAGTGATAAGTTTCATAATATAGTAAAATTATGCCTAATGGGTTTATTCGGTAAACCTTGGAGTAGCTACTTCTAAATTATTAAATTACCAAATATCGCAATAGCACGTGCATATTATATATTTCAGATCGGATGTACGTTCAAGTCTTAAATTATGTTTGTCTTACAATTCATACATATATATTGATATTGCGCCTATGCCTACATGTACATATGTATCTCATTTATAGCATTTACATATGGTACAATAAAATTTAGAATTGCGTTGCAGCACTTACGTGTAAATTCATTTTTCTTTCAATTGTCTTTAATATGATTTACCCAATAATATAATACACAAACAAACGTAGTGATGCAGGCATCAAAAAGCAACTTAGTATTCACTACTACTAATGACAGAAGTGCAATAAATTTAAAATACTAAATAAAATTGTGAATAAATACGTCACTTTTCGGATGGAGCGCTACATGATCCAACGAATTAACCAAACATACGATCACATTCAAAATGGTCCACTTGAATATATGTTTATGTGTGTATGTATGTAGCTAACAAAACCGCGCATTTATAATGCGCATTTGTCGTTGCATACGAAAAAGCGTTTCTTAATAATATAAAATTATTATTAATACATATGTAGATAATGTAAAACAAGAAATGTCGAGCTAACGCATTAAATTTGCGAACATAATGATATATTTATACAATAGAAACAAATAAAGGGATAGCGAAAATTTAGAGCGAGCATGTAAGTGTTAGTCGGCCGCACTTATATCAAACATCCGACTTAGACTTACTTATATTAAACATTAAATGACTGGACAAAATATATTTTGTATATGTATGTTAGGTGTAAAGTATATGTTGTAAATTCTAACAACATACATAGGTGAGGTGTATAAATGTCTGTAGTTATGGTATATATGCTAGTTCAATAATTATTGTTAATCGTCTTCAATATCATCAAGGGCGGCGCTAGACCGTGACAATTTCATATATGCGGCACAAATGCATTCGCATACGAAACGATATTGGCTCTGAAAAGAATCGAGTAATAAAAAAAGAATTAATGTACGAAAGTCCTAAATATTTTACCATAAAATATTGCTTACCACATTCTGCACCATGCAGGCACGTTGATCGCGCATTGTACGCACAATGTCTAGAGGATAAACGGGCTCTCTGATTTCCATTAAAGCTAAAGCCGTGTCCATTAATATAAGCACACCTGTGCGTCCAATACCGGCTGAACAATGCACTATCACAGGTGGATTTGCCGCACTTATGCATCTAAATTATATGAGATTTGCATATATGTATATATAATAAGCATGTATAATAGATTTTAATAATTACAGAAAAAATACGAAAAACTTGATACAAGAATTTAGGTTAATGAAATGAATGTGTCAATCTGCAATTATTTAACAAAAAAAACAGCTAGCAGCTGCTTTAGGCTATAGTGGTCCGATATCGGCGGTTCCGATAAATAAGCAACTTCTTTGTGAGAAAAGTTGTGTACAAAATCAGAGCAATATCTCAAAAAATTAGGGACTTGTTTGCGTACAGACAGTCGCACATGGTTAAATCGACTCAGCACGTCAAACATATCATTTATATAAATATGTACTTTAGCGAGTCTCCGACGTTTCCTTGTGGGTGTTACAAATTTAATGACAAACTAAACTACTAAATGCTTGTAGCGAGGATACACGATGGCTCGTCCAACTCTGCACTCCAAAAAAACCTGAATTGAGCTGAGCTCAAGAAAGACCATATGTTATGTTTTAGGTTATACATTCTCAGCATTAGTTTTGTTGGCGGAGATCAATATTTAACATTCAACGCTTATCTCTCTTCAATTTAGTGCAACAATACACAAAATTGGAATTGATGTAGAAATATGATTTATAACCCCCTTTCACCCCTTTTGGAATTCTTTCTCTACGGTTTACTTAGTCCTTATGAATATTTTGATACTTACTGATGCACACTAGTCGAAACTGGGTTTTCGTCTTCCGGCGTAACACCATTGCTGGCAGCGCATTTGCGTTCACTCATCAATCCGCCATTTTCATCGGCATCGGCATCTAGTAGGCGCACTTGTTTTAGACTCTCTTCGATTTCCTGCAACAACGTTTTGTTACGCGCTACACGTACACGCTCGGTGAACTCAATAAAGAGATTCGGATCGGAGGGCACGCAGTGATCGGGCCAAGCCAAGTATTGCATGTGTTGAATGTGCCGTTGTTCACCCGTACGTTTGTCGCACAAAACAAATTCCCGAAATACAAAGCTGCCCGTTTCGTCCGCCTGCTCACTGAGGCACTTAACCGAAAATCCGTCTCCCAAGTGCAATTCATCGCCGGTAACTGGCCAATACTGATGGCATTTCTGACGTCCCGCCTCCATAACTGTAGTCAACATGACGATCAAATGGCTGCTCTCTTGCTGCACCATTCGCCAAAAATCGGTTGTGGTGTTGGCCAAGGGACCTTGTGTGGCGATGTAACGATTCACCACGCCGCCTGGTATTTCCATGTTCACGTAATTTGCGTTGATATAATCGCCAGTCATCGAATTTACAAGTGAAACACGTGTGCAGTCATCTAGGTGGGTTAAAAAAAAGAAGATTATTGAAATGTGGTGAGGGTTTTAAGAAATCTTATAATTTACATGGTGATATGTCACGATAGCGATTCTTAGCAATATTCTCCGGCTTCCGCGCCTCTGTAATCGCTAATTCAGGATTCTTGCGATACATCAGTTCGTATTGTGCCAAAAGCGCGCCGGATGCTAAACCGTCGCTTAACAACAACAAGCTCTGCGTAAATAATGCATCGCCATCCAGTAGATTTGAATGTGACCCGATTTCATCGTTTTCTGGAACATATTGATACAATGGTTCCTCTTCCGACATTATGGCGCGCATTGCTTTTGGACGTACAGTGAGCAAAAGTTCACCCCCACGTTGACTCCGACTGTCACGTATCATCGTCACTACTTGGTCGTGTTGCAAACCAACAACATCACGCCCATTAATCATAACGACTTCATCTCCTTCACAGACGCGGGGCGTGCAGCGATCTGCTGGGGTGTTCGGTACCACTTTGGACACCTGTACAGGGAGTCCGAGATCTATGCCACCCTTAACATTAAAACCAAAACGACCCTGTTCGTCGCATTGTAAGCGTATGGTAACCAAATCACTGCCGCTATCCAATGCTGTTGACGAGTTTCCATTTATAAGAGTCGTAATCGCTGGACCCATATGTGATGGCGCGATATTGGCATTCAATATCGGGCTATGACTACCGGAACTGTACGCTAAAGGTATCGGTGATTCAAATCGTCTAGCTATTATACCGGTGTCCCTAAAATGGAGAATTACAAAAAAATTTTCAAAATCGTGCGTTAATATAAAATACCACTCACAACTGTATATCGTATTCATCGCTCTGTTGTTCCCAGGCTTTACGAGGCATTGTTTCAGTCTGCTTCGAGGTTACTTTATTGTCGTGTGGACGGCTCGTTTTCGTAATGGTCAAAATGGACGTATGATTTATCAGTGCGGAAGAGGTGATTTTACCGTTATGAGACACGCTTCCGTTGCTATCGGAACCACTGGTACCGTTAATCAGTCCTAACGGTAACGGTGATGTGGCGATTGCAGAACCAGCGGTTATAAGTCGTTTGCTCGGCGAACGAATGAAGGCCTTATGCACAATGCCGCGCTGCTTCGACTCCTGAACTGCCTGCAACTCTGTGCGTCCCGAATAATAGAATCTGACATTTTAGGGGCAAAAAGTAAATACTTTTATATATTAACTATTACATAATGTTTGTTAAGTACTCACTTCGACCCCAGACTGATGTTTAGAAAACGCGGTAGTCGATGCGGTCGTTTTAGACGGAAAAAGGAATGATGTTCTACACAAGATTTCCACAAAGCTTTTGCATGCTTATGCGAGGTCATGCTAAAGCCCAGCAACGTGTCATAGCTCTCCGACTAATCAATCAATAAAAGCAATTCAATAAAGCAATTGACAATGTTGAAATACATTTGATTATAATCATTATTATTTATTAATTACCGGTTCCCTGCGCAACTGAATAAAGAAGTCTTTTCGTTTGAACGAAACTTTCACCATTTTTGACCAGGAAAAAGTATTTATACGCAAACCGTTTTGGAAGACTAATAGGCCAACCGCCGATACTCCCAACTGAAGCTCCTTACCATTTGAGTCCTGGAATATGAAAAATAATAAATTTGAAAAGAAATTATATTCTAATTTCAAACAAAAAAAGAAAGAAGTTAAAGTTCTTGTTGTTGTTGTTGTTGTAGCGGCATAATTCTACCGAGTTGACAGTCCTTGGCCGGAATAAATCCGGGTCCGTTCCGGTTACGTAGACCCGACTGTCGTGGGAACGGAAGTTAAAGTTCTTAGTTTATGGTGCTCAGGGCGATAATAATTCTGAAACGCCAGCCGTTTAAATTGTTTTCCAAAGAAATTGTTAGCGTACATACTTGAAAATGCAACGCAACTAAATCTGTCACACCATATTTTAGTAGTAATGTGGATTTCAAGTAGGTCGAGAACAAAGAAATTGTTAGCGTACATACTTGAAAATGCAACGCAACTAAATCTGTCACACCATATTTTAGTAGTAATGTGGATTTCAAGTAAGTTTGTCGGGATTTGGTCAAAAATATTTGACTATTGGACGTTGATTTAGCCTTTGACCTTTATTATACCAATAAATATTTAAAAGTTCTTTGTGTAAGGATAAACGCTTATGGTTGATTCAAGACAAGTCCAATTGCCTTTATGCATCTTGCAAAATTATATACACACACATATATATACCGTAGCTTTATGTAAATCGATGCCATATAAATCAAGCCGTTTCGCATGTTCCAAATAATTATACTCTGCATCAGCCGGCAATTGGCCACGATGCAATTTATGTAATTCGGATATTTTTCGCTCGGCGTCTGGCGTTTGTTCGACCAGCAGTTGCATATCACTCAAGTATCCTGTCTGATGTTCGGCTGGATTGAAATCGCCTAATTCGGCTGAAAAGATATGAAACATAAAAAATTATTATAACTGCATTGTAACTTCATATTTAAAATGAATGGCGGCAATTTTGCTACTCACATTGGACCGTGTAGCTGGCAAGCAAACATTGCGTGTTGACCGAGCATGGCAATCTCCCCACTAGGATATTCCGCTTGACTTGCAAATAGAACTGATACCGGGTGTATTCCTCTTGCAAACGACTGGGGTCACTTACATAAAACTATTAAAGCCACAAAAATATTGTTTAATTGAAATAAAATTAACCTTTTCATACATATATATATGCTCGTATATATACCTTAACTCTAAATTCTAACGTTTGAATGGCGTCATTTTCTAGAGCGAGGCTATTACATTGCTTTTTGAATTGCTTATGTGCATCTACCCATCGCTATGAGGAGAGAAGTTGTAATTATTATATAATGATTTATTTTTTTTTATAAAAAGTAAAATGCTTACAACAACATCACCGGGTTTCTGTGGAAATAGCAATCCAAAGTAGTCCCTTTCGGATAGCTCTAAGAATTGAAAGACTTGATCAAGTAATTCAGATCCTTTAGCACGTTTCTGAAATCGAAAAAAAGATAAAACATATTTGTATACAGCTGCAGTGCTCTATAAATAAATATAATTTATGCAATAATATATATAATTGCTTTTTAATTGGTCAAGCCTTCATTTGTTAATATCGAAGTTGTTAGCAGTTTTCATTTCGCCACTTCTCTGTTAGTTTTTTCGGAGTTGAATTCCACTCAAAAGAATATGTAGATACCCGATTAAAGAAATAATACTAGGTATAACCACTTGTTACCTAGTTATACCAGTCAGTTGTATTTATACCAGTGGTTTGTGCATTCGCTAACCTTTAAGGTAAGACGAATCGAACACAGCTACTATGACAGGTAAACTCGATATTTAAGTAAGAACTCATTATTCATATAGTGATTATTTACTTTTTGTTAAATATCTAAAAAGTGATAAGACAATTTTACATATCTGTGGCTGGTTTATTATGCTTCACGCTAAATGACTCACATATGCATGTTGAAATAATTCACATTGTAAATGCCCGTTTAGATAGTTAATCAAACATTTTCATACAGGGTCCAATCTTGGACTGCGAATAAGTTTTTAAATGTGATATTTTACCGTTGATTTTATTACGTTATAGCGAATATCAGAGGTTATGATTGATCTATGAATGTCCTTACGATATTTGCGAAGTATTTTTTTGCTGATATATGCTCATGCTCAGTATAAGTATATAATACGATTTCACGTCAAATAGTTTCTAATTGTCTTCCAAACCAACAAAAACGAACTATATATACAGCACCACACAGATTAACGTCACTTTTATGACCTGTCAGTGTTAACCATATCCAAACTAAAGCATTGAGCAGAATTTCAGAATGTATTCCCAAATATTCTATCACTCAAATCGAGTCCAAATAAGATCAAAATGTTACTAGCTCAAATCTGGATTTTTTTTATATCCGTATATCGTATATGCTGTCAGTATAAGACTCAAGCTGCGAAACGTAAACTTTCTGTTGTAGGATGGTTTAGGTTTATGCATCGCTTCAAAGTTACAATTGTAATAGAATTTATGAATGGTTTCATAAAGAGCGTCACGTCAAATTTTACAGAGACACTATTGCCTAGTTTACACGATATCACCTGGTGTAAGAAATATAAAAAAAAATCTGCATTTCAAACACTGTTTTTTTTTTGATTGCAAACAATAAAATTAATGTCTTTTAATAGTACTAAGTCTCCGTAGAAATTATACAGTATTTATTTGTGAGTCTAACGAAATCAAATGCAATATTTAGAGACAATGATAGAAATGAATTGAGGCTTGTACTGCGACCTGAGGTCTATTGTGCCCTCCTCTCTGTCACCCAGACTTATATAGGAATCGAATTTTTGTTAAACCTCTTCGTACCACGTAACCCTAAAGTAGATATGCTTTGGTATGAGCTATGATTATTTAGTAAAATATTGCAATACAAGCTTTTTTACCCAATTTCTCCTATCTCATTGAATTTAGAGAAAATTTACTTTCATGTCAAAATTGCTCTAAGTACTCTCGCTTATGAATATTTATTATTTGGAACGAATTAATTTGACTCAATACTTAATACATTAAATTTCACTGATAATTCACAAGAATTTTCGGATTTATGTTTTTTCATGCCTTTCTACTCTCAGAAACACCTTTGATCTTACGCGATGAAATTATGTTATACATAATAACACGAAAGCACGAAAAACACGTACAAACCATACAAAATAAATATTAATCACGTTATCTCAAGTGCAAAAGTACTGGTCGTATGAGCAAATGTATGTATATATACATATGTATATGTATGCGTGTAATTACATTTATTAAATATTTGTGCGTATTATTTTACATGAGCAGAGCTTCAAGTTCATTTATTGACCAACATAACTGTAACAATGATCAATTTCATGCTTTGCACTTGTTTTGTAAACTACAAGGCAATTAAAAAATGAAAGGAAACACTAAAACGTGCAGTTAAAAAATAAATGAGCAGCAAATAAAGGCAAAGAACTGGAAATGGAAAGTCAACAGTGGGCTTTACGTGGGATGTGCAACAGACATACAGACAGACATACATGCCTAAGAGTCGACACTTTCAAAGCAACATACAAACATTAAACGAATACGAACGAATGTTTTTCGCTGTATTTTTTGTTTGTTGCTCTGTGCCACACTAATGCCCGGATGAGTGCCCACCAGTCAACGAACCAGAAAAAAAGCAGTACAATCATAAAACATTTCAGCATAAAAACATAAATGCGCAACGTAGTCTCCGAAAGCATGATGATATGAATATCCGTCTGAGTACTTTCTATTTAATCATTAGGAGATAAGTACTTAGTACGTACTATACTATGGCACATTGATTGGAGCAAAATTACAGTTGCACAGTTGGAATATGTTTTTTTATATTTGCAGATTCTTCAAATGAACTGAACGTCATAGTTGCGGTGAGAGCGAATTGTTAGACGCTCGGATTTGATTTGAAAAATTCTTCAAAATTTGCACAAGATATTACAGAAGTAGTGTTATTGATAAAGAATACGCTAATATCGCTATCGTAACAAAAATTTAAAGGAAAGAATGTTTACATAGCCTACACCGGTCCTTCGACATATAAAATTTTAGTTTCTCCTATAGCTAAAATAAGGGGAACTTTTTTTTATTAAACTTTGCTTTTGTAGAAATTTTTTCGTATTTATTTTATTTGTATGGCCAAATGTGGTATCAGGCAAAAGCAAATTTTACGTGCGAAAAATTAAAAATTCCAGTGTTTTTCAATGTCTAGAATCAGAATTGTAGAATGAAAACAGAAACTAAAAAAAAAATTTTTTGTTGACCGGTGTTATGCTAGGATAAAGTTAAAGATTGTACTGTGACCTGTGGTGACTACCACAGTGGGGTCTTCTCCTCTGAAAACAATAATTTAACACAGTAGCTCAAGGAGATTTAGCCGCGCTCATGGGCTAGAAAACAGTTGATTGCTCTCTCTCTCCAATAGCCTGACTCTTTCAAGGAATATATTCTTTGCTGTCTACGCCGCAACATCGCTCTCCGGATCATCATGGAATCATCTCTATTTTCCAAGATCGCCCTCTTTGCCGTTATTTCTACAGCGATATGGAATGAGGTCCAGATTCGGTCAACCGTTGCAAGGGAGACCTTTGAAGTTCAAGGTACCGCACCATATGTGACTATTGGCTTAACTATAATGGTGTACATCTATCGCAGTATACCTGGTGTACAGCCCCAGACTTTGCTAGCTAAAAGTGTGTACATCATTAGTGCTTTGGTGGCTTTCGCAATAGTGGAATATAATAGAAGTATAATAAAACATGTGGTTACTAAAGGAGTATTAGTTATTGGAGTAAATTGTGAACCGATTGAACGCACTTTGGGCGTCAGTTCAGCTTAACTATGCCAAGCATAATACAGACATTATTAATTAACATTATTGTTTCAGATATCCCTTCTAGGTTAAAGTAAATTTATATAGTCAATATAAGACGATTAGCGGATGACGATTTTGTGAAATTTATATATTTCAATATATCCATATATGTATTATACATCCCTAAATTCCGTATGTGATTATATGTGGATACCATGGAATAATATTTACTAAATTCGGTTCAATTTTGCATTTTCAGATCATGCGGAGGATTTCAATTAAGTCCGGTGTCTGAGGTTCTGAGTCCAAGGCATAATCTTTTTAGACCATAATAAAGATTTCATATATTTGGAGAGGAGTTTCGGATTGATATCCTCCAGTAAACGCCATCTTTTCTTTTGTTCCTGGTAGCATTATGTTGCCTATAACTTTCAGTCGTTGTTACTCCTTACACCTTCATATGTGAAACATTAGCGTTAAATTGTTGCCGTTGTTTTAATATACATATATTTTTGGATTATAATCATTACTCTGAATTGACAATGTTCCGGTATACTCAAGAACATATTTTCAAGCAAGTAGGAAGTAGGCAACAACCACGCCAATTTCGTCCATTTTCGCACTGTAACATAGGAATGTAAAGATAATGTGATCTACGATTTGGTTGAAATTGGTCGAGTAGGTCCGGAGACATGTAATTTCACCAAAATGTCACGCCCATTGTCCAATTTTGACCCCGCCTCCTATAAAGCCCTCTTGTGCCATTCTGGATTTAAAATTTATTGCTTTTGACGTATTTAGTTATTGAGTTATCCCACTTCAAGTAGTTTTTAATAAAACCGTTATATGGGGAGTGGGCTGGGTTATCATTCGATTTCACTCATTTTCACACTATCGTAAGAAGAATCAAAAGGATTTGTCCTGTGCAAATTTGAGTCCTATAGCTGAATGGTTTGGGAGGTACATATAATATATATATAACTCCACATCTATCTCGAACCAGCGTTAGGTGAACAAAACTATTATACTCTGTAGCAACATGATGTCAGAGTATAAGTATGTAGTAGAAAGAGTTGCAATTACTTGCACTATTGTTTGGTTCAATATCTAATTGGCCTAGTGGTGTTCAACAACCACATGAATCAAATCCAAGTATATTTACCATATTTTTTGTTTGCAGATATCCGATCAGGCGCACTGTTTCAATAATTATAATCATATCTTTATATATATATCTAAACATAGTTTGACTATAAACTAAACATAACTTTATAGGGAGGATATTTGTGAACTGATTCCACTTACCTCTATCCGAAAGGTGTGCGTTGTGTCATCTAAAAGCAGGACAGTGACACATTGTTGCCTTTGTTGTTTCTTATCGCGCGCCAGTTCTTCACTTCGTAAACGACAATTTGCACCTAAGTTACTCAAACGAAAACGTTCAAGCATTGCAATTGTCCATGGCAATGTATGAGCAAACTTTTTTCTCTAAAAAATATGTATATATATGTACATATGTATGTCTACGTCTAAGCTATTTACTACAATTATGTAAGTAATTTTTCAGCAAACAAAAAAAATGTCAGTCGCTATTTGCTTGGCTGGCTTATAATTTCATTCACAGGAGTTAGACTTTTCGATTTTACGTTTGCATTTCTTTAGTAGTTTTTAGTGGATCTGCCTCGTTGACCAACGCTAATTGTGGTGGACGTTGTTGATCGCTAATTGGATGGATTCATGTGATGGATTGTGTTTTCTGAAATGAAACATTGTTTTTATAGAATTACTTCAATTTATTAATTTGTTCACTGATTTTATAATCATATATTATATATAATAAGTATTGTATAAAGTGTATCTAAATACACATATGTATATGTACATATACTTAAATATAAAGGCATATATATATGTTAGGTATTTTAGCTGTCGCGCTATTTTTAATTTTTATTTACAGTGAAACATATTTTGCTTGCAATTTACATCACACTTGTCATACTAAAGGCCGTGAGTTCTGCTCTCCCCGCTACGTACTGCTCAAGAGTACTAACCAAGAACACATGTTGTAGATATAGTATATAAACCAATATATTGTAGTATACATATATGTAAGTAATATATGTATACATACATATGTACCAACAGTCACTGTAAATTTGTGAATATTAATTAATATTCCATGTCGTCACTGTGTTCCCCTATATTCGTTGATAAGTAGGCAGGAATATGTGCATGCATGCTTGAATGTATGTATGTATGCTATAGTGGCACATTGGCAAGCGCCGCGGCCAGTGTATTATGTGTTCGACAGAAAATAGAAGAAAACATTTCATCACTTCCGGCTAACAGTGATGTTTGCAAATACGATTTATACTGTCATCTACATATATTCTACACAAACACATACTTGTTTACATATGTACCTATCATATTTATAATTTTGTAGAGCGATATATAGCAACGCCCCACGGCACTTCAGATATCCTAATGATATGATTATTTAATGTCAAAAGAAAATAGTTTCAATCTAATTAACAATCAATTTTATTTTGGAATATTATAAGCGAATCTACATACTCCCCCTTTAATGGAATTAGGCAAGTCTACAAATAATAAACTGCAATGGAGGCATACAAGTTTTTATGAGTTCAAATCCGTATACTTATGTATGTTCATACCAAGAAAGAAATTCATAATCATCATAAAATCCATTAACGTTCGGTGTTGGTTTCAAATTTATTGGACCCTCAATTTGTGAAATGAACCCAAGTCGCGCATCACAAATGGAAGGAAAGGCTCGTTCTCACAAACCCAACGTAATTCGAGTATATTATTTCATCCATGCTTAGGACAATTGAATGTTTAGTAATGCTTAAGTTAGCCTCTTGACGAGAATGCTATCTAATATCAATGACAAAGTTTCAAATGTTCTAAAAAATGTTCCTATTGTACAGGTTACTTAAGGTAACAAGAAGAGTACAAAAATAAGAAATTTTTAACAGGACGAAGTTATTAAATGTTCTTCTCTAAAAATGTGGTTTAACCCCAGAAAGGTATGCCATATTCCAGATGTTTTTTTCATTCTTCATAACAAATTTTCGCAAATTACTCGTATGTGTTTATTTTTTCGTAAATACATGCATACATGTTTACATATATGGTATATACTTGGTATATGTATGAAAGACAAGATATATATTTGCATTAATAAATATGAATGAAAAATATTTGCACAGATAAGATTTTATATATCGTACGATAACACTTTGCAAGTGTGTGAGTACGTGATTCAGAATGCGGTTTATTTCTCAGTTATTTTATAAACACTTATAACGGTAAATATAAATAAAGAGTAAATATACATACAAACAAAAAAGTTAATGGAAAAATAAGTAAAGTTTAAAGACCGTCTTCTCATGATCAATGATATGCATTAAATACTTTGGCTTTATTACAGCAGAGGCTTTTTGCTAATGTGCCTGTCAGGTAACAAAGTCAACTGATAAAGAACAACATAAAAAAACTTCATATATTCGAATTTAGTATTGAATGTTACGGAAGATGGAATGTTATCGAAGTCGATAACGCATTTTTTATAACGCTTTTATTAGATTCACCTATGTTTGTATGTTTGTAACTTTTTCTGTGCAAGCGATAACTTGAGTATAAATGGAGATATCTTAATAAAACTTGATACATATGCTCCTTGGTTTTACCCCGATACAATCATTATTACTTGACGGACGGACGGACGGGCAATCACCCGGATTTCAACTTGTCTCTTCATCCTGATCATTTATATATATAATATATAACCTTATATCTAACTCGATTAGTTTTGGGTGATAAAAACAGTAGCAACTTGTTGCGAGGGCCTAATAACGAAAAATCCTTATATGTGGTATCAGGTATGAACCTGTGAAAAGGTAATAAACCCATTTATTTAAATAAAAACACCAAATACTGGCAAAACAAAAATTCACTTGTAAATTTTAGAATGAAACTTCTTTGCCATTGTCCTTAAAACGGCACAAATAATAGGGATTAGATTTCGACGTTGAGTCATAAACCATTTTTAGAAGGCCTGCTCAATTTTGGAAAATTCACTTTGGGGGGTCTTACGTACTGATTTCGTGCGAGGCGTGTTTGGAACGTAAATTTAATTTTTTTTATAGTACAAACCAATGACTTTTAAACTCTATATTTTGCGGATACGGCCTTTACTGAAAGACCCGTTCGTAATATAATTGCATCAATAAGAACATTTTGATGGTTCGTTAAACCGAAAGAAGATGATATATAGAAATAAGGCGTGATAAGCATGATTACGGTCAAATTATATACATCGACAAATAACTCTGTGTAATGTAATTCCTAAATTCCTTGATTCCAAGTTATTTGAAATGCCGACCATTCACCAATTGTGAAATCAGAATTTTTTTAAAACTGAAGTACATAAATATAATTTCCTGTTGGCATTTAGCTGAGTGATGGTTCAAATGATAATCTATTTTAATAACGACCAAAGTGTTAACAACAAAACAGCTGTGAAAGCAAGAACTTTACCTTTGAACACACTTTTGCAACGATTACAAACATTTGAGACAATATTAAAAAAATTAAAATTTTCTAGTACCTTAACCCGAAACAACAAATGTAAGCGAAATTTAAAATGTTTGTTGTCTTCTTATAGATATTACTATGAATGTGTAAAGAGTCCAAATTCGCGAAAGTATGGCGTGAAGTTCCAACTTAATCATAAATATATATTATCTTTCACATACATACACATATCCAGCGGACAAAAAAAACGGGACACTTAGTTGTAATGACTTTAAATCGATGTATTGTAGTATAAACATGTATTGTAGTATAACAACAAACTCTATGATACAAGTAAGTTTATATTGTAGTAAGTACATTATTCAGCTACAATAAAACGCTTTTATTTGTTTTCCTGAGTCTACACGCGGCTGCAAATAAAATAAAAGTGGAAAAAGTCGAACATTTATTGAAGCTGACAAAGCCAAAAGTTTGGCTTTGCGATCTCAAAACTTGAGTATATGCAAAATTAGTGAAAAAAATAAAGTTTAGCACAACTGCTGAAGACATCAGTAGCAAAGTTCAAGAATTAAATGGAATCGAAATCAGTAGCACTGCATGACACCGCCACCAAGAAGCCGGAGTAACTGACCGTCGACCTCCCAAAAATCCGCTCTTGACGATAAAAATGCGACGATTCTCATAAGAGCCGGGATTTTATCCGACCAAGAACTTTTATTTCGAGGGCCTAACCCTGTTTGGATCGGTAAGTAATAAGTTAATACTAGCCTCTACGGCCGTGCAAAATGCACCTAGTTCGACCAATGCGCCGTCCCTCCAGCCGAGTGGCCAATAAAGAACCTCTACGGTCCCATGGAGCTCAACTAGGCAGCATGACTCTCAGTCTGATCAATCAACAATATTACCCTGAAATGTCCAGGCATATCTATCCGGTTATATATATATATATATATATTTCTGTGGACAACCGTTCCTACGTTAACTTTAACATAGCTAACTGAGTCGGCTTCACAAAATGCATTGAGAACACCTTCACCGCACTACCCCTTCCTACGGACGTATTCGTTGGAGAACGTCAATTCCGCAAGGTGATCGCTGCAAGTACTGCTCGCTTCATTCTCGCTCATATAATTCAAGAACTACGACCAAACTTTCCAGCTGAGCGCGACTTTTTACGCCAGGTCGCATAAGGGATCTCAATTTGTCACTGACCACCGTTCGCATACCCGATGTGTGGAAAAACGGAAAGGTGGACCCTCTGCTGGTACCTGGGAGGCGAGGTGAACAATCTAAATTCAGAAGAATTAAACAGGGGTTCCGCAGGGTGGTTCTTTTCCCCGCTACTGTTTAATCGCTGCACTTCGAAGCTCCTACCCACCAGAAAGAGATTCCATTGCCTCATACGCAGATTGTACGATAATAACGTCGGACAATGGTATTGATGGCATGTGTTCAAACGTGCACAACTATCTCCTAGAACTTTCTAGCTTCTTGATTGCTAGGAGCCTAAAACTTTCCCCTGTCAGCCACATTATTTCCGTCGATGATGTCAAAATTCCGACGATGAACAAACTTAATATTTTAGATGTCACATTTGACAGTCTGCACTCCTTCACTCCGCACACAACCGCGATTATTACAAAAGTACAGAGCCGCAACACGATCTTCAAGTCGCTAGCCCGCAGCTTTTGGAGCAAAGACAAAGAGACGTTGTTGGTAACATACAAGGTAATCGGCAGGCCGGTCATTAACTACGTCGCCCCAATAGGGCCGACTGGATGCAGATGGAAGTGATACAAACCTCCCAGAACACCAAACTGCGGACTATAACAGGATGTCTCCTAATGTCTTCGATCGAGCATCTACATAAGAGGCTCGTCCTGTAAAGAACACACTACTCTCCAAGCAGTTTCTATCCCTGCAGTCCCCTCCTACTTATACAGAAAAGACCTTGACATACTAAAACTATGTCCTGCATGCAAAGGAGTCCCCGCATGACACTAACCACCTAATTGCAACTCACTTAACTCCCCTCTACATATGGTCCAAATCCGTCGAAACAGCTCGGTTCCTGGGCCTACCGTTAAGTAAATTCGATGAAAGTCAACTGATTGCTTTTGCCAAGCAGATTTTGGATAATCGTTATAAAGACAACTACATATAAATGCGACAAAAACGACTCCAATAGGCTAA